ACGCAGAAACTCACAAACAAAATCACAATCTTTTATACTTATCTAGGCGGGAGAGAAATCTCAAAAAAGGTCACGAGGGTAGAGAGATATTGTTGCTTATCATTTCTGGGTCGTTCCAACTTTTTCGGCGCGCAGTCACTTGCTCTACTTACAAAAAGCTTAGTTTCAAAAGCTTAGTCCTGTCATTACCCAGCCCTCTTCGCCCTGTTACTCTTCCTGTGACCTAAACCAACATCCCTACCCGCTCTATCCCTAATTTGCCATTTGAGGGGGTATGTTGCAATTATTGAAAACGAACTGAGTTAAGTTTTTCCTGTTCCATTCTTTACTTCTATCTTGCTGTCTTTACTTCCCACTTTGTACTAACGTCTGCTAAGTTGCAAAAGGTGCTGGGATTTCTTTACTTTTTTTTCGTTGCTGGTTGTTCACTTTTCGGTTTTTTTTTCGTGCAATTGAAAAATCTAAATTTTGTTCATTACTTGTCGCACCTTGAGGTTAAATTATTTTGAAATACAGTTTTTCAACAAAAATCGACTCATCAACACAGAAATTTGACAGAAATGCACGCTTGCTTTACAGATAGTGTTTGGCCGCGTCTTAGGTAATCGAATTTTTCTACGCGTATTCAAAAGGAATAATCACAGTCAAGCTTTCGTGAGCCTGTTTAGTAAATGCTGATGGTGCATCATTTCTTTCGCTTCATTTTTGAATTCCAGTTTTCTTTTTTGTACCAAAAAACCGTATTTTTTTCACAACTGTGCTTATATATTTGGCTAACTCAGCAAAAAAATCACAAGAAGTGAGAAGGCTAAGGTTTTTGAGCCATAAACAACAAATGAAGCCATAAACTTACGACCGGTTACCAAATTTTCTGTATTATGCTCCAACTATGAACTCAAAATATGCAGTCTTAAGCTGTTTTTCACTGTACTCGGCTTCTTACTTCAAGTTCAAATTTAGGCTGCTAATAATCTGCTGCCTGAACTTTAGAAGCGACGCAAGTCGCTTGTTTGAAAACCTTCCCAATAATACGTCCTGAACTGTGATTACATGTAAGTTCAGTATGAAGATGTTGTCGGTCCGTGTTTTAGTAATCTGAGCTGACTAGAGAAACGGGAATAGGTCACTTTAAGGTGGTACTTCGGACTTACCCTGAACGCAATCGCAAGTCGCAAATCATGCTGGCTGGTACGTCGCAAGTTGCGTCGGTCAGCTTATCTGGCCCAGCATGTACATTTTCAAGGATAAGGAATGTTTTACCAATCACCGTACAAATTCGGATGTGTCTCGAGATGTTCGCGGAAACACTGGCGGATCTGATGGAAATTACTCAAGCAGAATAAGTATTTGGTGTAGTCGGTCGGGACGCCATTTGTTGTCTCGCAGTAAACAAGGCATGCTGGTTGCACACCTTTCCGAACACAACACTCCGTATGGTTCTGCCTGGATGATGCACAGTCCCACATTTGTCCAACTGTAGGACCGTGTGGTTGACAGGTTGTCAAGTAGTGGAGCACCTGAAAATGACTGCGATAAGCCTTAATGAGGCACTTCCGGTAGTATTTCCTCATTATTCCATTTGTTCTCAGTTCTAGGGCGATTAAAAAATAAAGCAGCAAAAAGTTTTTTTCCTTCATTTATATGTGATTTGCTGGTGGAAACATTAGCGGATCCAGGAAGGGAGGGGCCGAGGGCCTTTTGCCCCCCTCCTCCAGGAGCCTGGATAGCAGTTGCTTTACTGTACAAAAGTCTACTTGGTACTCTCTGTCGCTTCCCCTCTCCCCCTCCTTGCCCCTTTCTTTCCTACGAACCTTGTTAGTCTAGAGTGGGGGAGAGGATAGCACGACGGATGAATGATGGATTGGGAGCTGTTCGAAGAAGATGATGTAGTGACGAACGGAGAAGGCGAGGTAAAAAATCGCCCCCTCCCCTCCAGGAGAACGCCCTGGATCCGCCTATGGATGGGAAGGAGCCAGATCTCACTATTTGATTTCCGAGGAAGACAATTATAACATGTGAAATTTAACCGTTTGAGGTGCCAGTGCTTCGAAGCCGCAGAAGCGTTCTTTGCAGCCTGGATCTGCCTGTTTCAACCTCGCGCAACACTTCTTCAATCGTTGTTCCGCAATCGACAACTGTGGCGCCTGGTAGTTGTTCCAAAGTGGGAAAAGTTGCTGATCGGGCTGTGGTACCACCTCGGGCCGTTGATGCAGTGTTGGCAAGGGGCCACCAGCTGCAGAGCTGGCGTTGGGGATTGGTTGGCCAGCCGGGAAGCTGTTTGGCTGATTGGCCAAGGCAGTGGTTGTGCTTGCCTGAATTTGTCTTGGAGCATACGGATACGGGTTTGAGAACTGTTCCCTGTTGAGGAACTGTTGTTGTTGCTGTGGTAGAAATGCTTGACCCTGTTGTCCGGTGCCTCTGGCACTGTTGAAAGAGTAGTGCTGGAATGCCGCGGAATACGTTGGATACTGACGAGCAATTGCGGGCTGACCAGCCAGCAGCGGTTGCTGCTGCTGCGGTTGGAATGGATGACCCGGCAATGACCTGTTCTGCAGTCTCGCAGTTAGCTCAATGATCTGTTGCCGGCTCATCAACGAATTTCGTACCGGGAATGCTTGCCTCCAGGTGCTGCTGTTGCTTGGCTGTAACGGCACCCGTGGTACTAGATAGTTCTTATTAAAATCCGTCTCCTGTTGAATGGTTGAGGGCCACCACTGTGAGCAAGCAATGAGAAACGTGAACGAGCGCATGATGGCCCTAAAATCGCTTTTCACTATCACTGCCTACAACAGTTAACAGAAAGATACTTAGCCAAAATGCACACATTGTTACAAGTCTCGTGCAGTAATCTCGGAAAGGAAGTTAAACGCATTTTTGGATCTCCCGAAATTATACAATAAATAGCAGTGCACACTAGAGGACCGACACGTTTGTGGATTTTTTTTTTTTTGCTGTATCACGTATGCCCAATTGACGAATAAATTGTTAAGTACAGGAGTTCCGCAAGATTTGCGTTTGTTTGATCAGGCACTTGGGAAGCACAAAATAGAAAATCAGTAGTTCGCTTGTTCTAAAAGAATAAAATCCTGTATTTTGAATTACTGTGATTTGTCTGAAAACTGAGGCGAGCCTATTAAGAGTCCAAGACTTTTTTAATAATTAGTTCTAAATTTACAAAATTATCCTAAATTTGAAAGTGAAGCGATAATTCAGGTATTATGAACTATAGGATGTGACTTTGAAAACTTCATCCTTAGGTTATTTTGTGATTTCATCTGCTGAAAATTTCGATTACACTGCGATCTTGGCCCGCAAGTCATGAAATATCAAAGTTTAGATTCCAATGCCACACCAATATTATTATGCCTGAAAATTAAGGCAAGCTTATTTCGGACTAGAACTGCACCCTTACGCAGTAAATTAAAGGCGAAACTTTGATTCTTATGCGTTTTTTGCAGCAATGCAATGCGAATAAATGGCCAACGCACGGGCTGCCCGTGCGAAGAT